GACTAATGGGATGTCGAACCAATGGGCTGTCGAACCAATGACATGGACCCGTCCAGTCAGAGGATGAACAAATGTTTTCAAGGTGAAATCCTCATTTACTGCCCACATGTCACGGAAACACAGAGATTTTGCAGACAGCAGTAACGTTATCAGCATTCTCGGAACCCATCGGCTGTATTCGGCGTCTGACTTCTGGCAGACGGTGATACAGCCTCTGGGGGCAGACCCCCAATTTTTTGGCATTCCGGTTTGATTTGGGCGGAGGAGGTGAATTTCTGTTTCCGACTTCCGTTTATATATAAGTAAATATGCTGAACCATTGTGATGGATTCAGAGTTTGCAGTGACGCCAATTATGTTCCGCCTCGTTATATCACCACATGGACCGTTTAACCTGGCAACAACTGCAGCCGGCTCAAACGTGATTGGCCAATATCACACGGACTACAAACAGCCTACAACTGGAAACCAGGGCTCTTCCGCTCTTCTTCCCGAGGCAACATCTCTGGGGAGAGGAGGCTACATCATCAAATCCTGCCTAAGGACTATTTCAGTGTCAAGGATCTTTCAAATTCTACTGAGGACAGAGCCCTTCTGTCAGAGAATTTTCAACGACGCATGTGTGTATCTTCAGCGGGTATAAAGTATACCTACAATTCTTTGCACACGATTTACTGGAATTGAAAGAATTGGGGCCTCAAACCTGCGCCAGCAGAATTCAGCAGGACTTAGATAAGTTTGTCATTTATTTGGATTAATATCTTCAGGAGTTTTACCATATGAGCATGAATAAAGTATTTACAGAAACCTCATGATTTACACTTTCCAATGTGTCCACTGCCTAATAATAGGAGATTTTTTAAAATAACATGGTTTAGAGTGTGATTTAGATTTAGCCTTTTTTAAGTAATCCAGAAATATATCTCCCTAAAAGTCATGTGACTCTGAAAATACTGCTTACATTTGTTCAAACTGTACAACATAAGGGAGTGCCAAAATTATCACAGTACCCCAAAACCCCCTCAGTCCTCAGAGGGTTAATATATTATTTAACATCAACAGTGTCCTTTTTTTGAGGAGGGGCATAAAAATTTAAATAGTTGTATTTTGTATTAATTAATTGATTTATTTTTTAATCTGCAAAATTACACCATTTATCATGGCCAGAAATGGTTAAAACAGAAGTCATCATTGAATTTACAAATTTCTGACAGTCCTTGGACACATAATGTGCAATGAGGCTTCCTGCAAACATTCGCCACACTGTCCAGTATGCTCCACGTGACTGACTGTTTACCTGCCACACCCCTTCACCGGAGTCTACTTCCTCTACTTCCTCTACGCCAACAACACCAACTGCTCACAGCACTATTTCCCCCGCCACCACCCCCCACAGGCCCCAGCTATCACTGCCACTTCCACCTGTCATTTTCCCTATAGAGACCATTGCTCTGCCCCGCCGGTTGCGAGCCCGCAGAGGTGGTGTGGACCATGGGATCCTTCGCCCGCTGGCTCGTGTCTCAACTTCAGCCACTGAGGAGCTTACTCTCCGTATTGCCCTGACTAATGCTAGATCGCTAGCAAACAAGACTTTCTTGTTAAAAGACTTTTTCACCTCTCGTGATCTGGATTTTCTGCTCCTGACGGAGACTTGGCTTCAGGCTGGTGAGTGTACACCATTCTCTGAACTCCTTCCTCCTGACTGTTTATTTCTCAGTTCCCCTCGGACCACCGGCAGAGGTGGAGGTCTAGTCTCTGTGTTCAAATCCAGCTTTGAGTGTCGTCAAATTCTATCTGACAATTATTCCAGTTTTGAGCTGCAACTGTTTGAGCTAAACCTGTCCTCTCCTGTCATGTTTGCAGTTGTATATCGTCCTCCTAAATTTAATAAGGACTTTATTAATGACTTTGCCAATTTTCTATCAGGGGTTACAGTGAAGTATGACCACCTTTTAATTTCTGGCGATTTTAATGTCCATGTGTGTTGTGAATCCAGACCTCTGGTCAGTGATTTTTTAAACCTCATCGCTTCTTTTAATCTCATTCAGTCTGTGACCAGCCCGACTCATGAGAAGGGTCACACCTTAGATCTTGTGATATCAATATCTCTAAAGCATTTTCTGAGTCATGGTTAAATGACTCCACACGTTCTCTCAGACGTTCATGTCGGCGTGCTGAGAGGAAGTGGAAAAAAGATAAGCTCCACGTCTCCAAAGAAGCTTTACGTGAATGTTTATCAGCCTACCAGCGAGTCGTTAAAGCTGCCAAAATGGAGTATATATCAAATATTGTCTCCAATAACAGTCATAAGCCCCAGGTTCTGTTCAGTATTTTTAACTCCTTGTAAACCCATGCGATAACGCTCCAGTTGTGCCATCGCCCACTCTCTGTGAGAGCTTTCTTAAATTTTTTATTGAAAAAATTTCTGCCCTTAGGCCAGCTGCTTCCACTCTCACTGCCCCTGGTCCTGACCCCACTGTGCCTCCTTTACCTGCTGTCTTTGACCAGTTTGAGCCAGTATCTCTCTCCTCACTATCAGATATAGTTAAGCATCTGTGGCCGACTAACTGTCCCTCTGACAGCATTCCCTCTTGCCTTTTCAAAGATGTTTTTGGTACTGTGGGGTCCACTGTTCTTGCTGTCATAAATACCTGCCTTAGCTCAGGGTGTGTTCCAGCTGCTCTCAAACATGCTGTAGTGCAGCCCCTTATAAAAAAGTAAAACCTGGACCCTTCTCTCCTGTCAATCTCCAAATTACCATTTTTGTCCAAGGTTTTGGAGAAAGTGGTCTTTACTCAGCTGCAATCATTCCTAGTGGCCCATGACATGTATGAAAAGTTCCAGTCTGGCTTTAAACCACATCACAGCACTGAAACAGCACTTTTGAGGGTTTTTAACAATCTTTTGTCAACTGTTGATTCATGTAACTCTGCTGTTCTGGTGCTGCTTGACCTGTCAGCAGCCTTTGATACCGTAGATCATAGGATCCTCCTGTCTCGCTTGGAACAGTGGGTAGGTATCACAGGTACTGCCCTTCTATGGTTTCAGTCCTATCTCACTGATCGGAGCTTCTCAGTTAATTTAGGGGAATTCAACTCAGCTACGGCTCCTCTCACCTCCGGTGTCCCCCAAGGCTCCATTTTGGGCCCCATCCTCTTCTTGCTCTACATGCTGCCATTAGGGTTGATTTTTAAGAGACACAACATACATTTTCACTGTTTTGCAGATGATGTACAGATCTATCTGCCCCTTATATCCATTAGCAAGGATCCTGTACAGCCACTGCTAGAATGTTTAAAAGATTTCAAATCCTGGATGGACACTAACTTTTTAAATCTCGATGAGGATAAAACCGAGATCATTATGTTTGGATGTGACCCCTCCGATTACTCCGCTGATTTTCTGGACACCTTCACTCCTAACATCCGTTCCTCTGTTAAAAATCTCGGTGTGACCTTTGACAGTGCTTTTAAATTCGATAAACAAATTAGATCAGTAATACAAACCAGCTTTTATCAACTCAGGCTTTTAGCTAAAGTAAAGGGCTATCTCTCCCCCCAAAATCTAGAGAGGGTAATCCATGCTTTTATAACCTCACGTCTGGACTACTGTAACTCACTTTATGTCGGTATTGACCAGTCACTGCTACACCGTCTACAGCTTGTCCAGAATGCAGCAGCCCGCCTCCTCACTGGCCTCGCTCCACTGGCTTCCAGTGCGTTTTAGAATTGATTTTAAAATTTTATTGATTGTTTTTAAAGCCCTAAATGGGCTGGCACCCTCTTATTTAACTGAACTCCTGCACTCTCATGCTCCCTCCAGAGCCTTGAGATCAGCCAGTCAGCTATTACTGGCTACTCCTAGGACTAGGCTGAAGACCAGAGGTGACAGAGCCTTTGGGGTGGCTGCCCCTAGGCTCTGGAATAGCCTGCCCCTGCACATTAGGTCTGCCCAGACCCTAGAGGTTTTTAAGTCTTTTCTTAAAACCCACTTCTTCTCTCAGGCTTTTAACTCAGGCTGAGCTGGACACCCAAACATTTTATCTTATTTTTATCTTATTTTATAACCCTTGTATTTTTTTTTATTGTATTGTATTGTATTTTATGTATCTTATGGTTGTTATTGTGGTGTACTATTGGGTGCCTCACTGTATTTGCTTGTTTATTTCTATTGACCTGTTCAGCACTAAATGTGCTTTATAAATAAAGTTTGAGTTGAGTTGAATTGAGTTCCTATAGAAAAAACAACACGTCTGAGCTTAAAATAATCACTATTCTACATCTCAAATTTGGCCACAAATAAGATGAACCAATTGCAAGAACTCACCAGCATGCATGACAAAAGTGAAAAACTGAGGCTTTTCAGCTCCAGGATTTTTTCTCTAACTTTTAACTTTCAACCATCAAAGGACAAGTTTTAAAAATCTTATAACTAATTTATGGTGGATGGAGGATCATGCATTTTCCCTCAGTCACTCAGGGAGGCTCAAGGAAAAATATGTGTAGCTTTGGAGAGGGTCAACAAAAAAGAAAAATAAATACATAAAAATAATAATAATAGTAAAAAAAATGAAGTCACACCAGCATCCTCTGATAGGTAGAGAACAGTCCTTATGGATTTTTTTTTAATCAAAAAGAGAAGTAGGCTACAATTGGATAACTAAATGTATGGGGTTTAGGGGAAGGGATCTCTGCTGTGGATATATCCTCCATTGGCGTATTAAAAACAGTGTTCTATGACAGATTCTTATAAACAAGCAATGGAACAAACTAGTGTAATCACTAAAACACATCACTGGATAAAATGTCATATCAGCGCCAAAACAAAACAAAAAGCCATCTAGTGTAGTACAGTACAGCAGTGATGAGACCGCAGCGGAATGCCAGAGGAGGCTCACAGAGTTGCCTCCAGTCCCTTAGGTAACAGAGAACAGAGGAGGGGGAGGAAGGAGAGGGTGTGTGGGGGGAGAGGAGTCTGGAGAGGCAGAGAAGAGGAGTGATGAGGAGCATGAGGTCTGGAAAGACAGAGCAGAGGAAAGAATAGGTGGAGGAGCAGGAGAGGGGATTTAAGTGGCGCATCTCTGCTCTCAGCATCCAGGGTCCCTGGACTGTCTTATGGGTCTCAGTGGGCCGCGGTCCGCGCCAGGTGGACTGGCAGCGGGGCGGCTCCGGACTCTGGCGCAGGTTACGCCGCTGGACGCAGTGACAGAGAAAACCCGCGGCGGCCACTGAGGGACACAACTGACATTTTTGGCTGTCACAGTGAAGCAGCATGCCAGCGATCACTCACACCGACCGCGGGGTGTGAGGAAGAGGGGGAGAGAGGCTATGGACATGCAGGGGGATGACTCGCTGTTGAAGAACCGGACGGTACACGGGCCGGAGCCGAGCCAGGGGGCAGCGCGCCCCGCATGGACAATCACGGCGCTGGCGAGCGTGCTGATCTTCACCACTGTGGTGGATATCCTGGGAAACCTGCTGGTTATCGTGGCTGTGCTTAGGAACCGCAAACTAAGAAATGCGGGTAAGAAAGCTATTGTTACACGATTTAGTAGGTACTGGCGCGGGCGTGTGTGTGTGTGTGTGTGTGTGTGTGTGTGGGTGTGTGTGTGTGTGTGTGTGTGTGTGTGTGTGTGTGTGTGTGTGTGAACAACACAGAGAGAGAAACAGCGGAGCATGGAGCACAGATGTGCGGTGAAATGACATTTAGAGGTGAGCCGAGCTGGGCTTTTAAGTTACCGACCACACATCCACAACAGTCGGATAACCGTCAGTGTGTTGGCAGTGAAGGTCCTGTCTGGAGCCACAATAATACCAGGACAGCTGACATCACATGGTGTTTGATAAAGAGAAAAACGTTTGTAGTTCCTTCATGTTAATGGGCAGAAAATGAATGAAGAACATCACACGTGAATGAATCCTGCAGAAATGAATGAGTTTTGATTCATTGTCACTGGTTCACTGAATGAGTTGTTTTCATCTGTCTGCCTCCTCCATCTCTGTCTCACCAAACTTGTCAGTCAAATGGATCCATTACCATTCCATACAATACTTGTAGGCTCAGTGGAGCAGTGGATCTGCCCCAGCAGATTGATAGCTTCACTAAAATAAGTGTGGTTTATTATGTCATAGTTAAGAAGAAAGATTTTAGCCAGGTTAATGCAGCTTGCAGCTTTGAGAAACAGCTTGCATCCTGTCTTGTTTTGAGATAGATTGAGGTTAAGTTGAGGTTTAAATAACTGTAGACCAGGGAATGAATGTCCAAAGGGAAAGTAGGCTATTGTTAACCAATGTGTGTAAGTATTGTGTTCAATTCATCATCATATTTTATAAGTTACTGCTGCTGTGTTGCTCTACACTGACAACATTAAAATGTAAACATATTTAAAAAACCCTTTTGTTGATATGAAAGAGTTAAAACATTAGCCTCATGTAGGACCTATTGTTCTCTTATACTTCCCATTTACTTATCACAGATAACTTTGGACGGACAACGAGGTGGAGTTGCTACAGTAACAGATCTACACTTTGCTGGAGAAGTGTTGATAAATTCAACAGGGTGAGCAGCACAAACAGAGCTCGGCATTGTTGTTTTGATGTTCGACTTTCTTGCGCTTGCCTAGTGACTGGAACCTTAATGTGCATGTGCGTAAATTCTCTGTTTTCAGAGGATCTGCATATTGCAAGTTTACATGACAACGGAGACGGTGCCGTTTCCAAAAAATTGCACTCTGGAACCCGTTTTCAAAATGTTGCTTTTTCAGGCTCCCAAAACGCCGCTGTCGTGTAAACGATCAGCCAAAAGGCAACTAATGTTTACTGTTTTCAGTTGAAATCGTAGTATAAACGGGACCTTAGTAAAGCAGTTTCACATTACCAATCACTGTAACTGCCATGCTGCTCATTTCATTTAGGATTTAACTAATGCAAAAATGCGAATGGCCCAATTTGGAGCGAGAATTTAGTTTGTCCCTTCTGGGTTACTGTACAAAAATTGTGGTGGCACAACATGGCAATCTCTCCATACACAGAGATCTGTTCCCTATGTAGATATAAATGGCTCATTCTAAGGTATCAAAACACAACTACTCTTATTTTCAGGTGATTATACACCAAGGAAAACATACACATATGCCATCTCTGCCAATATATCCCCCTAAATCCTACACACTGGACCTTTAACAGATTTTTTTTTTTTTTCAGCAAAAAAGCATGAGCTTTTCTATTTTCCATGAATGATTAACTCATATGAATATATAAAGTGATGTTTTAAAACACATTAGATATATATTTTGTATTGTATTTGTCATCATGCATCAAAATATCCTCAGTTTCTGAAGTATCTTCTGAAAATACTGTTCTCATTTGTGTTTCCTTGTTTTTTTGCATCAGCCACTGTACTTCGCAGCCCCACTGCTAGGAGAGCATTAAAAAACATGGATTTTTTAATGTGAAATTGCTCTATGCAGTGTTTTTAATAGATCATCTGGTCTGTTTGTTTTGGAGAGGAATAGACCTCTACTGATGATTGGCTCCTGAACGTCTGGATCTTAAGCTTTAAGAGAAAAAAGGTGAACACACATTAGCAGGTGCTAGGATAGTGGCTTGTCTCAGACTAGTCTCTTATACAGACTCCGATGACATCAGCACGCTGGCTGACTCTGCCTGTGGACATTCCCATAGGAAAGTTGTAATAGAACTAGCTCTGGCTCCCAGCGGCAGTGATGTGATTGGATCCAAATCCATGTACTTCCATACTTCCTCAACCAACGGCTGATTAGCTTTGCCTTACACCCGTCTACACTGGAATTGCTGTTCCCCGAATTGTTGTCCGTAGTACAACAGAAAAGGAAGTGTTCAGTGCATCGCAAGAAGAGATAAAAATGGATATGATTTCATTTGATTCAGCTATATTGCAGAGCTGCAACATCCACAAGGTTGGAGAAATTAAGGATTTACAGCGTGCCATACCTATGGCAACGCCGTCACGTGGTCTGGATATCCCCACCCATATCTATTACAAAACGAAAGACAAATGTCCCCAGACTCCCATTCCAAGGTAAGGGAGGCTGGTCACGCGAGGCTAGTCTCAGACATGCCAAACAGTGTTGGAAAAAGACTGATTTGTAACATTAAACGGCTTTATTAAATGTTTTTACCTGTTTAAATCACCTGATCTGTGTGTTTTGAAGAGGAGGAGACCTCTACAGATAATTTGGCACCCAATAAAAACCTCCTGAACAATGAACACTGAAAGAATTCTAACCAGGAGAAGTTTCAGCTTGTTGCAATTGGCGATCCTCCCTGCTTGATGCCAGTAAATCCTCCTAAATCTTAAAAACCAAACCTTTAATGGAGGGCATTAAAGTAAACTCCAGAGGGACACCAAAAATGTTAGGATAACATCTTGGTTTCCAATATCCAAACAATATTCCATAGTAATTTGGCGAGTAGCTGTTGAGAAATCGGTGTTTGGCGGGCAGACCTATGTGCCCCTGCATGGGCCAAGCCTACAACATAGCAAAATGGACTTTTCATTCCAGTGCTTTAGATGTTCTAATTAGAAATGCAAGATTAGATATGATACACAAAGGGTTACTTTCCTCTGTCTTGTCCAAATAATCTGCTTGTGAGAGCTTTGTGGCAGATTGACAGCAATGCCGGCAGAACCGGTATGGCTGCCTCTCCCTCCGAGTCTGACAGCAGCAGATAAATTGTCTGATTTATCTGCTGGCTCACCTACTCTGGCACTCTCTGTGAGGCATTCACCACACGCATACAGCTATTATGCAGGACATAACAGAAACATCATGTTTAGTTTAATGGGGCTACAATATCTGATGGCTGACAGGTTACCTGTATGTATGGCAGCCTTTACCATTACAATAACGTTGGCGTGCCCTTTATATTTTGGTATGTAGGTGATAAGAACTAATTGCAGCAGCACTGAATTTGTAAAAGTCATTCTTGACCTTAGATACATCAATTGCAAAAACAGTTTCATTACAAGATCTATTTAGTAGCTGTACAGGGGCTTTGTATCATAATATAATATCTTAATGATGATGATATAATTATGAAACCCCTTTATGCTGAGCATCATGATGTTACTGAAAACTCCCAAACAGCTACTAAAGGATTCTTGTGGTAGGATTGTTTAGACAGGTTTACAAAGGTCAGAAACATCTCTTACTTTTAATTATCTGCTCACTCAGTGTGAGAAAAACAATTCCTCACTCTTTATTGGCTTTGTATTGTGTAAAGGTGCCTCCTTGTCACTTAGATCTGTTAGCAAACAACAGAAAAATGCCTAGAAGATGCTGTGTACACTAACAGCAGGGTAAGGAACCCAAAACTTTTTACAAGCTGCCAAATAAAAAAACTCAGCCTTTATGAAGACAAAACTGGATGGAGGCCTGAGGCATCAGCAGGAAGAATGGGAAAACTTAGGACCCTAACTCACATAAAAAGGTTACGGCTGCTAATTTGGCTGGACAGACTGTAGAGGTTGAAGCTAACTCAGCTATGCAAGGCCTGGTTTTGATCTTTGCAAGCCTGCTGTCAATGGTATACAGATGACCCCAGCCCAAGGTCTAGGGGGGGCATGAAAAGTGGTTGACCCTTTCATGGGATCATGTACAACAATTTACTTGCCGACTTATATCACTGACAATACAAGTTATATGTACTTACATGCTAAATAAATATATTTTTATCATTAAAACACATTTCAACATGCCATCTAATACTCCCACCTCCTGGTGGTGTGGTCCATCCTACATGGGTCAGGTGCATGATGTGCAAAACTCTCAAGTGTTGCTAATGTAAACCTGTGAGGCAGACTGCAGTCTGACAAGTTAAGTCAGAATGTCTCACCAGAAATCAGAGTCTCCAAAAGAAAAGTCAGCAGCAAAGCTAAAGGTGAAAAGTGATGCAGAGTAATTTTCAGTAAAAAAAACACAACAACTGCTGTATTGCGCTCAGTTTTAAAGCTACAGTGAAGACACAGGAAGCATGTTAAATTACAGGAGCTAAAGCATCCATTGGTACTAACCTGTCTTATCGGAAATGGAGTCAAATAACGCTCTAAATTTATGCTAAATTTTGAAATATTTTATTTCTGCACACTGGGGTCCCTAAACAGTCTTGGAATTGTTTAAAGTGGGTATGACAAAAAACTTGGAATTAATAGCCATATACTCTTTAACACAGTTATGCATACAATTTGATCAACATTTGATTAAAGTAGCCTCAAGATTGAATGAATAAAATAAGAAAAAAATATTTGTTCATGTTTTGGATGGGGGCCCACTTTTAAAAATGTTAACCCCCTGCCCATATTTCCTGATGGCTGGTCTGAATATTTGTTTGCTTAAATGATAATCTTATCTTGTGATTTCATCAGATACTTATAATTGTAAATTTCTTTAACACTCAAAGAAATTATTTGGTTTATTGTTTGGGTTTATGTATTTCAATTACATATAAAACTTCCATCCAACTGAGTCACGTAATACTAACATA